GAAAGAATTGTATATTTTCAATTCATTGTTTTATCACTAAGGAGTTACACCCCTTATATGGGGAGTATATGATCTCCTAAATCCCCTAATTATATCAATTGCAGATTATACAATGTTTTGTCTGACATAATTAGGAGATTACATAATCTATAGAATATTCTGAGATCGTATACCTGACATAACTAAAAGATTACATAATATTTACCCGATTACAAAAGATCTACACAATATTATGAAAATCTTAACAATTCTAATACTAAAAACTAAATTTGATTCTAAACATTCTAAAACCGAAAGCTAATCCTGATACTTAATCTAATACTGTTATTGAAACTATTAGCTGATACTAAAAACTATAAGCTGATATCTTATTCTGAAACTGTAAATTGATACTAAAAGTTCTTTTGATATTCTGAAAACTCATGTTGAAAAACTTTAGCTCATAGCTGATACTGAAAACTCTCACCACAAATAGTAACCAAGGGTAAATCCATCCAACTCGAGAAGATCTATCATTGTACGGATTGGGCCACTAAATCCGTCCTGCCTGTCGAAATCTTGCATCGCTTAGACCTTCAAACCCAGTAACATCCTGCATCGCTCAGGCCAACACAACAAATCATATGCATGCGTAGAGTCATAACCGAAAATAAAGGGGATGGGTACTTTGCCAGGTGGTTTGAAAACCAGTCTTATCTCAATCCTCTATCTCAAACTATCATTTTTTATAAAACATTTACCGAATTTCATATACAAGAAAATCCTGCCAACTATATGAAATCTCATGCAAAATGGGGGTAAAATACAAGTTTATAAACATGTTTCAAAACTGACAATTTAACCCATTTTCGTTTCTCTTTCAACCAATTACCAAAAGCATGAAAACTCCATTTATTCATGCATGGTAATACTTTTCAGCTTTCAACAAGCTAGGCAGATAAACAATTGCATGTGTAATATGTCCAAAACACATTTAATTTAAAATAAAATTATAACCATTAAAATAGTCCACTCAATTTGACATGGAAGCTTGATAATAAAAGAATTTGTGTTTGTTTGTATATGTGGATGATTGTATTAAAGTAGCTATAGAGGTTCAAAGATGGTAACAATAGTGATGATGACGAAGAAAGTTAAGCTGAGTAGCTAAGAACTCGGGAGAGTAGGGATGATGTTGAAGAGAAATTTGGCTTTATGTTTATAAAGTTGTTAAATCCTTTAGGTGTTATAAACGGACGTTATGATAATCAAGCATGAACTCATTAGTTTGCCGTTAGTTTCGTTAAGAGTTGGTTAAGCTTCTATTAAGTGAAAAATTAGAAACTTAAGCTTACCAAAGCTTCCCTTGTAACTGTACATAAACAAGTATTGCAGACTTTTTAGTTGCTTAATGAAAATCTAGATTTCTTTTGCAACTTCCTGTTAGATTAACTCAAACATGGAAGAAATTAACTCAAACCATAGGAACGAAAATGGATTTAACTCTCAAATTTATGCCAATAATGAATTATGATAGTTAAATAAATGTATGGAAAAGATACAAATTTTGAATTTTGCTATCATAACAGATTGCTTAAAGTCATAATTGACTCATTTTTAATTTGGTTAGGTATATAATTTGTACATCAAGTCATGTTGACAAGGCGACATATCAATAGACATGCAAGGGGTTCCAATGGGGCGTAAGAAGCGCATCAGCCACCTCTTTTATGCTGATGAGTTTCTCTTCTGTAAGGCAAATCACGTATGAATGGAATAGGTTGTTAAGCTTCTAGACAACTATGAAAAGAGCTCCGGCAAAGACTCAACAAGGAAAAAAATCTCAAATTTTTTTAGCAAAAATACTAGAGATGATGTCAAACAGCAAATTATCCAAGTGGCTGGGGTTAAATCCTCTCTCCTATGACGATATCTGGACTTCCAACGTTGATTGGGAGGGACAGAACAAGAGGTTTCAAGCACATTTGGAACGTGTAAGGGGCAAACTGAGTAACTAGAAGATGAAATATCTTCACAAGCGGGAAAGAAACACTTCTAAGGCTGTTATCCAGCTCTCCAACATACAGCATGGGTGTTTTCAAAATCCCAAAAAACATCCTACAAGAGCTGAACAGATGATTAAAAGTTACGGTGGGGGCAAAAGAATGACGAAAAAAGAATCACTGGTGTTCATGGGATAAAATGAAGCTTTCAAAGAATGATGGGGGGTAGGATTCAGAGACTTTGAACTCTTCAACTTGGCTATGCTTGCTAAACAGGGATGGAGACTTCTTCATTATCCTAATTCATTGCACGCGAGATTTATCTGCCAAATACTACCCGACGGTAATTTTTTAGAAGCAAAGGTTAAAAGGTCATCATCCTTCATTTGGAGAAGCGTAATGGCAGCAAGGTCTGTGTTGGAATCTGGCTTGATGTGGCGCATTGGTGATGGGTCCAAAGTCAGGATTTGGCAAGACAAATGGCTTCCTTCCGCCATCTTCTTTTAAGATTCAAAGCCAATGCCTTGATATGGACCCGGAGGCTAAGGTGGCTACTCTATTGACCCCCAATCAAAGTCCTGGAAGTGGACCTTCTCAAAGATTTGTTCTCTGAATCAGAAGTTGACATCATCTGTCGTATTCCCATTAGTATCTTCAACAGGCTAGATAAAATTGTTGGAGATGCGCTAAAAATGGTCTCTTCTCGGTTAAGAGTGCATATCACCTGCAAGTGGAGTCCCAATCTCATCCGAGGCCAATCTTCTGCAACTAATGATATAAAAAGTGGAAGAAAACTATGGAAGCTTCCCATTACTAATGCCGAGAAATTATTTTTGGGAAGGCTTGCCAAGACATTCTTCCAACCAAGTGTAACCTTGTCAAGAAAAGAGTGATTGAGGAATTTTTTGCACCTTCTGTTGCTTAGAAGAAGAAGATGTATTGCATGCTTATGGGGCTGCGTGGCTGCCAAGGATATTTGGTCAAGCTGTTCCCGAACCTTTCAAAAGATGAACAACAAATTTCACTGACTTCAGAGAGCTGTGATGGTATTGCTGTCCAAACTTGAGGAAAAGTATTTAGCTGAATTTGGTGTGGTGGTCTCAAAAATCGGCAAAGGAGGAACGAGTTTATTTTCAAACATATGTCTACTCCATCCCAGCTCATTCACCAAGCAACTCAACAACTGGACATATTAAATTCCTTGACTCACAAGACACTCTCCAAGACGCACCCGCTGAATTCGGATCCCAGTTCAACTAGATGGCAGCACCCACTGAAGGTATCTTCAAAGTAACTGGGATGCAAGTGTGAGAAAAGAAAACGGCACAATGGGGTTGGAATTGCAAATCGGATGGCAAGGTAGATTTTGGTGACTAGAGAATGAAAAAAAAACATGCTGCCAGATGCACACGTGGCTGAATCTTCGCAGCTTCAAGCAGTCACTCTAGCAAGCATATTGGGATCAACCAAATAATCCTGGAAGGGATGCCGCCAAGTAGTCAATGATCTCCTTAGGGATGAAGAGAAGTGGGCCAAGGTGGTCTATTTCTATGGACACTAAGGTGGCTTTCTAGGAATTTTATCACTTTTTCGGGTCATATGTTAAAAGAGCATCCAATGTGATTGCTCATACTTTAGCTAAAAATGCTTAACCATCGATGATGTACTGGTTGAACTTGAAGAAGTTCCAAATTGTATTGGATCCTTAGGCGATCCTTTGAATGAATATAACTCATTTGATTTCAAAAAAAAAAAAAATAGACATGCAAATTTTTATGTAAGAATAATGTAAGAATTTCTCGGAAATTGAAATCACAATTTAATAATGAACGATCATCATTCAATCAATTTCATAATTCTAAAATTGCATATGTTATAAATTGATAATTAAGGATTATAGACAAAACGGTTTGTCATGATGATGATTCTTCAACCCTTGATAAGAGCGACAAGAGAGCGACATTTCTCCCTCCATAACACACAGGAAGAACGGTGGGTTAAGTTGTTCTACAAGTGTTTGGAAATGGGACCTACCAATTTAATATTGATTAATTGGATTTTCCATTAAAGGCACCCAATTAATTATTAAAGCCTAAGATTTCACTAGTTATCTACCAAATATATAATGAAGTATTAGTCAATCTTAAAACGATCACATAAAACCCATAAAGAGATCTCATTTGAATTATATATTTACCTTGTTTTAAATAAAACAAAATTATAATTAATATTGGCCCACAATCAGGAAAATATCTAACAAATAATACTAGAAAAATGTATGCATAGAAAATTAGATGACATAAAATAAACGGAAAGAAAAAAGCTCGTATGCTTGTCAATGTTCGTTGGTCTAAGCCTTCTTTGTACGGGATAAAAGTAAGCATTGATGCAGTTTCTAAGGGACTATCCACTATTTGGTAAAGTTTTAGAGATCATGTTGGTGATTTTAAGGGTTATTATTAGTAAGCATTGATGCAGTTTCTAAGGGACTTTTTAGCTAATTTAAGCTCCTAGATTAAATGTCACTTACCTATTTATTTATAGTTTCATTTAAAATAAATAAACAAAAGAGGGAATATAAAACGTTAGATTCAATAACTTTGGAATATAAAAGAGTAGTATCAAATCAATTTATGTTAAGAATTTGTAAGAGGAACATTATTGTTCATAAAGGCTATCTAATCTTTTAACCTTCCGTAATTAATAAATGCACATTTATGCTTTAATTCCATGAGATTTAAGTAATGAGTATGGCCAATGAACTTCAGTTGCTGCTTTATTGCATTTAATTATCACGATACATGTTCCAAGGCTAGAGACAGCAGTTGATTTTATAATCTCTTCATCTATTCTGTTTATACTCTGAATTGGGACACAAGCCGAGTGGAATAAGAATGACGACTGAGCTCAGTTTTCAATGTGACCTCTCGTTATCGCGTCAATTATCCAAAGTTTTTGGAGTTAAAATTATATATTCTCTCCTTCTCTAGTCAGACTGAATTCAAAAGTGATCAAGACATGGAGGGTCAACAACAAACCAGAAGGAAAGGAAAAAAGAGTGTTGAGATGCTGGACAGGCTAAGTGAGTTGCCTGACCCTATAATCCATCACATTCTGGCTTTAATGCCCACGGAATACGCAGTTAGAACCTGTGTCCTATCCAAAAAGTGGAGGCAACATTGGACTCATGTCCATAGTCTCAATTTTAAATACTACCCTTTTGAACGTTTCTGGCGCTTTTGTCGAGGAGCTAAAAAGTTTGAAAGATTTGTCCGTTATGTTCTGCGTTGCCGCCAACCCTGTAAGCTTCGTAGACTGAAGTTTCATGGCTCAAGAAACTTAAGTTTCTGTAACAGAGTTTTTAACTATGCTAAATTACATCGTGTCGAAGAGCTTGACACAGATTTTTGTCACTTTCCCCCACGCTTTCTGGAAAGTCAAACTTTAACGACACTCACGGCCGTACATACATTGCCATGCTCACTTGGATTTGCAGCATTGACAACTTTGCAACTCCAAAGTATTATGTTAGCAAGCGAGGATATCTTCTCTAGCTGCTTGAAACTCGAGGATCTACTCCTAATTAACTGTTCTTTGAAAGTCGAGGTTTTTAACATATCTACTCCACAGCTGATTAGCCTAACCATATCAGGTTTAAGAGTTGATTATAATTATTGGCATGAAGGCAACAGAAGGAACAAGAAATTACTAGTGATCACTGCACCGAGTCTTAAAGTCCTTTACTTTCGCGGAACGTATCCACCGCTCTTGAGTCTGAATAAATGTAAAGTTCTTGACAAGGTGAGTATTCAAATGTACCCACCAGATTGTTGCCGGCGTAATAGAGATAATTGGAAGCAGGAGTGCAATTCCGATATTCAAAGAATGGCTGAAGGGCTCTCTCATGTAAAATCGCTCACAATTTCAGTATATGTTCGTAAGGTTAGTAAAAACGTATGTATTTTGATTTGTAAGATCTGTAAACTCATTCTTTTTTTACTTTTTAAGATTTATTGGGAGAAATTGATATCCTATAGTCATCACACCTGATGAAGAAAAAATATTGTCAAACTGAATAAGGTACTTTATATGGAATTTATATGAATATTATTAATTAGTAAAGCATATATTATTTAAGTTTTTCTGACATCTATATTGTTAATACTCATTTGAGGTATACCTTTAATTTGTTGTATAAAAGATCAACATTTATTTGCTGTGAAAAAGCTTTTTCCATTTGATACTATTTGAAATTTCCTCTATTTCCATGATTTTAGATAGTCTTTCCTTATTAATGGTTTTCAATCTTTTCTGTAGGAGTCCAATAAGGCAAAGGTTATTCGACGTACCTCTCGTTGACAGTATGATGGCAATACTGGTTTTGCTTGAAAGCGTGTGAAACAGCTCCATCAATTCTGTGATTAAAATATAGGGAAACTGTTCTGGTTGTATTGAAAATATTTTGTGCTACATTCAATGTTCTACTTCAAGAAATTAGAAATACATTTAGCTTTCTTATCAATTTGTTTGGCAAAAGCTTATATGAACTAGAATCATTTAACAGTACTATGCATTCATTTTCTTGATTTAAATCTTTTATAATTGATTATATCAATGTTATCCTTCTTTGCATTATATATATATATATACATATATAATGCACCATCACTCACCACTGTCAACAATATTCTTATTCAACGAGGCCTTAAATTATTTTTTCAAAAAAAAAATGTTGAAAATATAAACAAATTGATTGAACAAACAAATTTAACTTATTAAGGATTTTGTTGGGAGCCAACATTTCTTTGTGACTTGATTTTGAGCTATAAGGACCAATATTTGTTTCTGATTTTTCTTCACTTAAAATATTTATAACCTAGAACTCAAAAGGTTGAAACCAAAAAAAAAAAAACACTTGGGTACATTCTATTGTTATACAACAGCCAATGACACCAGTTATTTTTCACTTGGACAGTGTAATTTTTTTTTATTAACTGATTGTAACACAATATGATGAAGACTGATTTGGAATGTTGATATTCACTTTGAATATTAAATATTTGGTTCTTGATTTTATGTGAGGGTTTTATGGCATTGATTGTATAATGATTAGATTTCCTTTATTATTGCTTACATCTCTGTATAAATTATCAGAGAAAGTGTTTTTCAGCAGGTTGTAAAACTATCAGAGAAAGTGTTTCTCTGAAGTTTGTTCAAATAAGCAGAGAGGAGAAGGTGGTTTCAGAATTAGTGCACTGCTTTGTGTTTTTCAGCAGCTGCAAAACTTGCAGAGAAGAGAATTGTTTCGTATCAACCAAAGCAGAAAATGTTGATGAAACAAGGTAACAGAAGCAGTTCTTTTTAGGGGAAATGTTGAAACTCAGAGATGAAAGAAGCAGTTCTGTTTCAGGGGAAATTGATAATCAGTCAAAAGGATGAACTCTTAAGTTTTCAATACTTAAGTATCAACCTGTAATTTTGTAAAAACGTTGTCGTTTTGTGTTTCCCGTTAAGTTTGTTTAAAATTAAAACCCGATTATACAAAGCTACTTTACCGATCTCTTCTTCTTCAATATAAAGGGAGAATACTGCTTATTGTAATCAGTTAATCAAATACAAAAAACTATTTAAGATGGTAGCTCTTTTTCTCAAATCTTCACAGCAGCAAGCAATTAACAATGCAATAAATACATGAAGGAGGTAATATATATATATATATATATAATATATCCATGCATAAACACTACAGAAACACCCATTTGTAGAGACTTTTTGTTTTAGTGGGGATAATATAGAAAAAAAAAGTTTTTTTTTTTTATGGTAATTGTGGCCACCCCACCTTGTCTTTGTTCAACTTGAACCTGAAAAAGAAAAAAAAAAAAAAAAAAATTGACTTCAATTCTAGTTTTATATGGTGGAATTCTCCACTATTGTTAATTATTATTGGGTAATATAATGTTGAGTCCAAACATATAGCTAATTAAGCTTCTAGATTAAAGTCACTTAACAATATTTATAGTTTCATTTAAAATAAATAAACAAAAGAGGGATATAAAAGGTTAGATTCAAAAAATTTGGAATAAAAAGAGTAGTATGAAATTAATTATTATGAAGAATTTGTAAGAGGAACATTAGTTCATAAAGGCCATATACTCTTTAACCTTCCGTGATTATAAATGGACATTTATGCTTTAATTCCATGAGATTTAAGTAATGAGTTGGCCAATGAACTTCAGTTGTTGTTTAATGCATTTAATTATCACGATACATGTTCAAGGCCAGAGACATAGTTGATTTTTAATCTCTTCATCTATTTCTTTTATACTCTGAATTGGGACACAAGCGAGTGGAATAAGAATGACGACTGAGCTCAGTTTTCATAGTGACCTCTCGTTATCGCGTCAATTATCCAAGTTTTGGAGTTAAATATATATACATTTATTCTCCTTCTTAGTCAGACGAATTCAAAAGTGATCAAGACATGGAGGGTCAACAACAAACCGAAAGAAAGGGAAAAACAGTGCTGAAATGTTGGACAGGCTAGGCGACTTGCCTGACTCTATAATCCATCACATTCTGTCTTTAATGCCCACGGAATACGCAGTTAGAACCTGTGTCCTATCCAAAAAGTGGAGGCATCATTGGACTATGTCCATAGTCTCAATTAAATGGACATTTGGAGAGCTTTATTCAGCCCGCTACTTCGTGGAAGAGCTAATAAATTTGAAAGATTTGTCCGTCATGTTCTGCGTTGCCGCCAACCCTTAAGCTTCGTAGACTGAAGTTTCATGGCTCAAGAAACTTACGTTTACGCAACAGAGTTTTTAACTATGCTTTTTACATCGTGTCAAAGAGCTTGTCACCGATATTTATGACTTTTCCCCGCGCTTTCTCGAAAGTCAAACTTTAAGGACACTCAAGGTCAAGCCTTATATATTTGCGGTTGCCAAGTCCATTTGGATTTGCAGCATTGACTATTTGCAACTCGAAAGAATTAGGTTAGCAAGCGCGGATATCTTCTCTAGCTGCTTGAAACTCGAGGATCTACTCCAATTGACTGTTCTTTGGTGTAGAGTAGAGGTTTTAACTATCTACTCCACAGCTGATTAACCTGACCATATAGATTTAACAGTAATGATTATGATTATTGGTTTAAAGCAACAGAAGGAACAAGAAATTACTAGTGATAATGCACCGAGTCTAAGTCCTTACTTGCGCGGGGAGTATCCACGCTCTTGAGTATGAATAAATGTAAAGTTCGACAAGGTGAGTATTCAAATGTGCCACCAGCTTATGTCGGATAATAGAGATAATTGGAAGCAGGAGTGCATTCCGATATTCAAAGAATGGCTGAAGAGCTCTCTCATGTAAAATGGCTCACAATTTCAGTAGATGTTTGTGAGGTAAGTAAAAAGTATGTATTTTGATTTGTAAGATTTGTAAATCTCATTCTTTTAATCACGCATACTACATGTTATTGACCCAAATTTTTACTTTTTAAGATTTCTCGGGAGAATTGATATCCTATAGTCACACACCTGATGGAAGAAACATCTGTCAAACTGATAAGGTATTTATATGGAATTTATGATATTATTAATTAGTAAAGCATATATTATTTAAGCTATTTCCATTGATACTATTTGAAATTTCCACTATTTCCATGATTTTAGATAGTCTTTTTTTATTATGGTTTTTAATATTTTCGTAGGAGTCCAATAAGGCAAAGGTTGTTTGAGGTACCTCTCGTTGACAGTAAGATGGCAACACTGGTTTTGCTTAGAAAGTGTGTGAAGCAGCTCCATCAATTCTGTGATTAAATATAGGGAAATGTTCGGTGATAGAAAATATTTTGTGCTACGTTCAGTGTTCTACTCAAGAAATTAGAAATACATTTAGCTTTCTTATACAATTTGATTGGCAAAGCTTTATGAACTAGAATCATTTAACAGTACTATGCATTCATTTTCTTGATTTAAATCTTTTATAATTGATTATATTAGTGTTAAGCCATTGTTATGTGAAGTTCTTAAAATTTAGAAGTGAGATTAATTTCGTCAAGAGCTTATTGGATTGGCATGCGTTGCCAAGTAAACTCGTCAAATGTTATATCTCATCTAAACAATTCATTATATGTTGCATAGTAGCCGTTTACCTTAATTATTCCACCAGTGAATCTACTAGTAGGAAGTCTAACGGTGCCAATGCACAGTGATCACCACTGTCAATAATTGACAAGACCTTTATTATTTTTTCAAAAAAAAAAAAAAAAAATTGTTGAAATATAAACAAATTAGTTGCAATTTAACTTATGATATTTTAAGGATTTCGTTGGGAGCCAATATTCTTGTGACTTTTATTGAGTCTTTATAAGGACCAATATTTGTTTGTGATTTTTCTTCACTTAAAATATTTATAACTTGGCACTGAAAAGTTAAAAAAACTTGTCTACGTTCAATTGTTATATAACCAGCCAATGGCACCAATTTTTTCACTTGGATTAATGTAATTGTTTATTTATTAACTGATTGAATTACAATAGATGTATAAACGGTTTTCTCTAAAACTACATATTCTAAGTACTAACATGCACAGAAGTTACCATCGACATTCATTGGCTTTATAATATCTTCATCTTTCAATTTTACCGATGATAATACTCTGAATTGGAGCACACAGGTGAAGTGGGAGTGGGATAAGAATGACTGAACTCAGCTTTCAATGTAGATTTCCATTATCCCATTAACTTATGAAACATGTTTGGAGATAACATTTTAACCCGTTCAGCTTTCAATGTAGATTTCCCATTATCCCATTAACTTATGAAACATGTTTCGAGATAACATTTTAACCCGTTTTGCTTCTTCGCCAAAGCAAACTCTTGACATCCTTTCTCGAGAGTCTTGATTCATCAAAGAAAAGAATTGGAACCTGTGAGATAGAAACCTATCATCTATTTCTTTTATCAATTTATTTGTAGGCAAGGATTGTGAGATTGAAATAAAGTAAGGAAGGAAAAACAATCATGCCATAAAGGTCTTATCACACAAATTATGCTAATGGAATATTTGACATTCAAGAGAAAATATCAATCACTCCATGATTATCGGCATCAAAGGTACCTCATGAAGTTAATAAGAGAGGAAGCAGGTCATGTTAATTTTGTAATATTATTAGTTGTTTAATTTTATCTAAGGAGTTTTAGTTAATTACTGTACTTAATTTGGGGCTTAGAAGGCTTAAATAACTACAATCTTTGGCCGCTAATATCGAAATAAAGAAACCTTAAATTTTTTTAAAAACTACAAATATAAATTTATCTTTACATTAAATTATTAAACTTATCTTTTATTCTTTGTTTTTTACAAATGCTTTTTATAACCCACTTTTATACATATCAGAAACCGTAATTGTTAACTAAAATATAGTTTAAAGGAAAAAAAGTTTAGCAAAAAGATATAATAGATTATTACAAGCAATATAAAATCGTAAGGTTTTAATTGCTAGCTTCTCAATTTTTTTTTTTTTTACTCAAGTTATATCTTATTATTTTTTAATCACATAAATATGTCTTTCTTGTTCAAAGTATTGATAGTTATGCAAATGTTGTCAAACTAGGAGGTATTTTATATCAAAAGAGTAATGAACATATACTCGAGTCATAATTTATATTACATTACGAAGATAACATATAGGTCCATAGGACATGCCACAGAGATTTTCGCATTAAATTAAGATATGGAATAAAGGGGTTAAAGCATTGAGATTGTTCATGTTTAAGGTTTTTCGAGTTCCTCTAATTGCTTTGATACGTTCAAGGCTTTAGATTTGGATAATTAATTGTACGTTTTCTAGTTGGATATATTATACGTTCATCCACTGAATCTACAACATGCATCTCCTAATCAAACTTCCATTTCATAAGCAAATTAATTTTGTCGTATATATATATATGATCATATCATCACATGCTCATGCAATAAACACTACAGAAACACCCATCTGTAGAGACGCCATAGCCAATGCCAGAAGCTGGCAAATAATGATGATATATATAAAGAACACAAATCCTTCTGAAATTAAGTTTCCAAAAATAAATTTGTCAAACAATAATTGAGGTTCTGTTGCAGTACTAGACATACAACATACTCAACAACAAGAGAACAAAAATAAAGATACTCATCGTCCGGTAATGGAAACACCAGTAATATATAGTTCAGAGGATCACTCCATCTTGAATGCATGCAGATCACTTATTTATAGATTTCACTAAGCGAAGGCGCAGATTTTTCAACAGCGAGCAGCTGCTCCATGTAGGATGGCTGAGGGTTCTGTTGCAGTTGCTGAAGCTGTTGAGGTTGAGGTTGAGGTTGGCTGGTTTCTCCTTGCTCATATTGACCACCATAGTTAAGTTGCCCAAGATTAGGCTGCTGAAAATCAGACTTCTGTTGTTGCTGCTGATACGGGTGCTGAACTTGGAGCTGTGGAAACTGTTGCGCGGCTAATGGTGCATTCATCATTGCAGGATTGGTGTTTCCAGGAAATGGATTGTCGAACGCTCCACCATAATTTGGTGCAACTTTTGGTCTCATTAGCTTGGCTTTCATATGCAGGATTTGGCTTTTTATTTGATCGTTCAATGCTGTCAGGAAATTAAACATTAGTATGGAATCTATTTCACGAAAAATAGATAAGAATTCTTGTAGAATTCCAAATTACAAGCCTGTGCAACTGTAAATTTCTGTGTGTTTGTATAATACAAATCTTTGATATTATGAGATTTACAAGCTAATACATAATCATATATATTATACATACTATGTGTATATTGAATTTAACATAATATGTGAGGAAAAAATCTTTAGAACAGATTGACATAGAAGATATTGTAAGCAAGCAAGAGATGAAGACAAAACAGACGTGACAAAGTTAATATATAAAGTATTCTGACAATAATTTATCTTATATTTTCTATATCATCATATCAATTTTCCATTTTATCGAATATTGCAAACGGTAGCTAACACATTTGATGAGTCTTCAAATGCCTAAAATCAACTATATATTAAAAGATAGAAAAGTCAAATCGAAGAATTCCTTACCATCTTGCAAGTGAACCTGTTGCTTAGCCATGTCAATTCGACTTTTCAACATGGCGTTTTCAGAATTCAAGGATTCAGATTCTGTCTGCTAATCAAAAATGCAAAACCAAAATTTTCAAAGATACTGTTCGTAGAGAAATAACATAATCGTAATTAATTAATAGCATTTGAGAGTAAAATAAAGGGAGAGACAAGCTTTTCTTCTTTACTATTAGACTAAAGATCATAGTGATTAGTCATTCATCAATTACATACCTCCAATGAGGTCAATTCAGAAGCCATTTCAGTAGATTTAGAGTGCAAAGCTGTTAACTTATGTTCCAGCATGAAAATGTACAGCTTCTTCCTCTCTTTTGCCCTAAGCGCTGACTGTCGATTTGTAATAATTCTGTTTCATATTCAAAGAAGCATACATAATTCTATAAGCTGAATTTTACAAAACAATTGAGAAAATTAAAAAAAAAAAAAAAAAAAACATAATGTTTATTATTTCACAAGAGAGCTTTAACGAGCTTAATTATCTTCTTAATTTATATTAGACAAGGAGCTGAATAAATCATGTTGGTGTTTTTTATATTATGTGTGAATGTGATTGCCAAATTGAAACTATATTATGTGAATGTAACCTTTTATGCAAAATGATGCTCATCTTCATTACTTTGCAATCAATATTGGAATACCAAGAGATATTATCTCTTGCATATATAGCTTAAGGGTTAATCTAGAATTCTCTTACTAAAGAGTGTTAAAGACTACTACAAGGCTTAAGGGTTAATCTAGAATTCTCTTACGAAAGAGTGTTAAAGATTGCTACAAGGCTTAAGGGTTAATCTAGAATTCTCTTACTAAAGAGTGTTAAAGACTACTACAAGGCTTAAGGGTTAATCTAGAATTCTCTTACTAAAGAGTGTTAAAGATTACTACAAGGAAAATGTTAACATATTGTAATAGTAATCCAGCGTATTTGTGACTTTGCGCAATTTTAATATATGAAACTTGCTACATTCTAAATAAGTAATGTTCTTCAACTATTGCAAAGCCCTAATAATGACTAAATAAGTAATGTTCTTCAGCTATTGCAAAGCCCTAATAACGAACAAACGACAAGTGTTTTTCCTTATATGATTGATATATTATTGAACTATTATGGTTAACTATTACGGTCCTTAACTTTCTCTTTTTAGTTTTCTTTTATATGTATTATCATGTTTTTATGTGAAAATTTAGTGTTCATAATCATAAAGTTTACGGTATCTCGATCGTAATATTTAAGATTATTTCACAATGTGTAATATAACACAAGATATCACCAACCAAATTTACTAGACAGTTTTGACAATACAGATTTTTCTCAAAAGAATAATAAAAGTTATTAGTACTCACTAAGAAGAAAAACCATATATAAGAAAAATATGCTGTCAAATGAAACAATGAAGTGTATATATTTGTTATATCAATGAATAGCCACTGCAAATAAAATCGAAGAAATTCTAGAAATGCTAAAACAAATAAAAAGTATCAAAAACTCCAAACCTAGTACAAGACTATATGATTTCAATATAAGAAAAGATGAAACAAAAAATTAAACCTCAGAAATTTACATCAACATATCACATTGATCATCCACACAGATAAAAAAAATTCGATATTAAAACAAAATTGCAGTAGAATTAAGAAGATCAACAACAATTATATTGTAAGAGATTAATCACTAACAGCGCAACGAAATGAGTTACTATAATCGTAATAAAACTATATACCTCTTCGCTCGTTTTGGATCATGTATGGCTAACTTTTCAAGCTCTTCACGAGGCATGGTTTTCCTGAATATATATGGTTTAGCTTTGACACTTCGCCGCTGTGCCCTTGGATTAGTTTGCAAACTTAATTTTGGTGCCCTTGGTAATCTTGGCAGTCTTGGATTTGGTGGAGGTTGAGCAACAGGCGAAATCCCTGAGTTTGGTGTTGGTGCCTTGGAATTTGCCTCCATATTAGAAGAGTTTTCATTGAAATTCGTGGTCAAGAATTTGGAAAAGAAATCTTCCTCGTTCCCATCCATTTCACCCACAAGAGGAGTTTCTTTGGCTGATCCTGTGCCATCAAGATCTAATGTAGAAGTAAAAGTTAGGTTTTTAATTTCTTAATATTAATTAACCATGTTTTTCAAAGGCAGTTACTTTGTTGTTTGGCTAGGGTTACCTGACATAATTCCTTGTCGTAAATCATCAAAAACCGATAAGAAATCTTCTTCTTCATCCTGGATTAATGGTATCTTGCCCTTATCCATCACTGTAAATCTCCAAAATTAACCAGTAAGAGAAAAAAATATATAGATTAAAATTCTGGAGATCAAAGAAATATCAAACAACTATATTCTTTAAACTTGAAAGAAACCCTTAATGAAAACATAATGATATATCTAACTTCAACATCAAAATAAAATTTAAAAGGTTAATTTCCATGATCTATAAATAGATCAATTGCAGAAAGTTAAAACAATGGTATTAGAAAACAACATATAAGAACCCTTTGAAATTATCTAAAGTCAAAACCCAAAATTCACGATCACTCTATTAAGCTTCTATATAACTTAAAGAAATACATAATTAAATCATGAAAATAACTAGAAGATGGAAGTAAAAGTTAATCACTGATATGCTTACAGAAGAGCCTCTCAAATATGATAAAGAGTTTTGTGATTAAGAAACCCTAGTGACTCTTTTATAATATATATATATATATATATAAAAGCTCTAGCACTTTCAGTATATATTCCATATATGGGGAGGTTAGTTTTCATTGAAGAAAGGAAGAGGACAAGAATTGACAGAAGGCAAATGAGAGGAAGAATTCATGAGGAATTATTGCGGTTGTTATTTGTAACTTTTGAAACTCCAAGGACTCGCAACTCAAATCGCAATGGTCAGTGGCTTCAAAAATACTTTGGTCAAACGTTTGACTATAATTTTATTGGTGGTTTTGTGGTCTCTTGGGGTCCACTTATGTTACTGTAAAGAAAAATTTATAGACAGTATCCTCACCTGGATTTTATCATTGTTAATCTCTCCTGGGTTTGCGTCTGCTAAGTAAATAATAGTATTTATGTTTAAAATTTCGAAATTAGAAACAGAATTATTCCTTAATTATTTTACAAACAGTTCAAGGGACGCCCTTTGTTACCCTTACATATTGAGTAAATAGTTAGCCTTAGAGTTTATTTAAAAAATTTAACGATTATTAAAAAAAAAAAAAATCATTTACCAATTAGAGATGTAAAATGGTTAGTTTTATCACATGTTTTTAATAAATAGGAATAAGAAAGTATGAAATAAATAGGAATAAGAAAGTATGTTACGCGTATTTCGTGTATATGTCAAGTACATTTTATGAAACTTCAAGATATATCAAAATAAATTTTATAGGTTACTTTCCCGGTTTAGTTCAGTTTCCAGGTTTTTTTTTTCCCATTTCTAATAGAAATAACATATTAGAATCTTTTATACTGATCTAAAGTCTTCTATATATATAACTTTAAAAAATACATAAATCATGAAAATAACTAGAAGATGGAAATAAAAATTAATCTTGGGTATGGTTATAGAAGAGCTAGATCAAATTAAACACTAGAAAGCCTCTCAATATGATAGAGTTTTGTAATTAAGAAACCCTAGTGGCTCTTCTATAATATAATACAAAGTTTTACCACTTCTCTATACATTCCTTTTCGAGGGACGTTAGACTCATACTTACAAATAAAATGGATATGAAGTCAAAACTAAAAGAAAATTGAAAGAGAAGAGCTAGCTAAGTGAGCTGATTCAGTAGCGTTTCTCATTAACTGATTTGAGCTACAGTTTCTTCTGTTTATATAGAGAAGAGCAAAACGGCACCGCATGACAATTGTGCCTAATTACAAAATAGTCTGATAACTTTGCCTAATTACAGAACTATCCTTTTCAACATTTGGTCAACATGCCCCCTCAAACCAAGCTACATATACCTGTCTAATCTCCTGAAAACCAGGCTTATTAAAGTATAGTTCTGAACTAAACTTGAAGGCTGAAAATAACCGTGCACTTCTGAAAAATAACTCTGCACTTTACTGCTGAAACTGCTCCAACATCATACTTTCACTAATACTCCAACATCATATTTTCATAGCCAATCAGGCTATACTCCAACATCATAACTTCGTAGCTTCTGCATTTCAACTACAACATCCTGGCTTAGCAAAACTGATGCTGCAACATCGCACAACATACAGCAGAACCGCTTAGAAACAATCACTTTTCTACCATTCTACAACATCCTGCAATCAACCATAACAGAACCATTTTGCAACTATAAATTACAATAGATCACAAACTGCACCAGACCACACACTGCAACTACAAAACTACACCAAATCACAACCTGCAACAAATCAATCTACAACAAACCAATCACTGCAACTCCAAACTACACCAGATCACAAACTATAACAAACCAATCTGCAACAAACCAATCACTGTAACTGCAAACTTCACCAGATCAAAAATTGCAATAGATTTCACACTGCTCACAAACTACACTAGATTACACACTACAACTACAAACTTCACCAGATCATAAACAACAATAGATTTCACACTGCTCACAAACCTACACTAGATCATAACCTGCAACAAATCAATCTACAACAAACCAATCACTGCAACTACAAACTACACTAGATCACAAGCTGGAACAAACCAATCTACAACAAACTAATTACTGCAATTACAAACTTCACCAGATCACAAACTGCAATAGATTTCACACTGCTCACAAACCTACACCAGATCACAACCTACAACAAATCAATCTACAACAAACCAATCACTGTAACTACAAACTACACCAGATCACAAGCTGGAACAAACCAATCTACAACAAACTAATTACTGCAATTACAAACTTCACCAGATCACAAACTGCAATAGATTTCACACTGCTCACAAACCTACACCAGATCACAACCTGCAACAAATCAATCTACAACAAACCAATCACTGCAACTACAAACTACACCAGATCACAAGCTGCAACAAACCAATCTACAACAAACTAATTACTGCAACTCCAAACTACACCAGACCACAAACTAAAAACTACTGATGCATGTCATCTTTGCTTATTACATTGAGCTTTGCACGTAATTCTGCAAAATGGGCAGTAGGTAAAGCCTTTGTCAACAGATTTGCAATTTGTAATTTTGATGGCACATAATGTATAGCCACCTTGTTAGCCAGCACCTATTCTCTTATGTAATAAGCATCTATTTCTATGTGTTTGGTTTGTGCATGAAACACAGGATTAGATGCCAAGGCAGCAGCACTAACATTATCACACCATATGACAGGTTTAGAAGTTATAGGAATGCTCAACTCAGCAAATAGACTTTGTAACCATGCAACCTCTATTCCAGTTTGAGCTAAAGCCCTATACTCAACTTCAGTAGAAGATAAAGCAACTACTTTTTGCTTTCTTGAGCTCCACTGTATTAAATTTGGACCCATGTACACACAATAATCACTTGTGGACCTCCTATCTTCCAAATTGCTTCCCCAATCAGCATCAGCATAGCATTCAATGTGCAAACTGCCTGCAGGCTTGAAAAGTAAGCCATGATCTAATGTCTTTTTCACATACCTCAAAATTCTCTTGCAAGCTTGCCATTATAGATTAGTAGGAGCTGATAAAAACTGACTTAATTTGTTGACAGGAAAGTTGAGATCAGGTCTGGTAAGAGTGAGGCATTAAAGAGCCCCAATTGTGCTACAGTCAAGACTATGACTCTCAAATAGTTCACTATCATTTGAGGCTAATTTTGTGCCCACAACCATAGGTGTACAACAAGGATTTGCATCTAGCATTCTAGTCTTTGTTAACAGGTCAGAGGCATATTTAGCTTGCTTCAAATGAATGCCTTTGTAGGTTCTAGTAGCCTTTAATCCAAGAAAATAATGCAGGGAGCCAAGGGTTTTGAGAGCAAACTCTTCATTAAGCTCTTGCATCAGTTGTGAAATATAGGCTGGATTGGATCCTGTTAGAAGGATATCATCAACATATACTAATACATAAGTTAGATAGGAACCTTGCTTACATATAAAAAGACTAGAATCAGAAATGGAATTCAGAAATCCTTTGCTAAGTAAGGTTGTTTTCAACTTATCAAACCAAGCCCTTGGAGCTTGTTTAAGACCATATAAAGCTTTTTGTAACTTGCATACAAAAGTAGGCTGAGAAGGATCTTCAAACCCAATCGGCTGCTGCATATACACTTCTTCATTCAAGGTCCCATTCAAAAATGCATTATTCACATCAACTTGCTGTATGTCCCAACCATTTGTTGCTGCCAAAGTCAGAATTATCTTGATTGTAGAAGGTTTAACTACGAGACTAAATGTTTCAAAGTAGTCAAAACCCGGGGTTTATTGAAACCCCTTGGCAACCAACCTTGCCTTGTACTTTTGTAGGGTACCATCAGCATTCAACTTAGTGTGAAACACCCATTTGTTTCCTAATACATTCATATTGGGAGATAAAGGTACAAGTGTCCAAGTTTTGTTATGTACAAGTGCATCAAACTTTGATTTCATGGCTGCTTTCCAACAAGGACTAGCTAAAGCATCAAATATTGATGTTGGTTTAGTTTCAACTTGTTGTTGTGAAGGGACAGACATAGGAGCAAAGGTTGCAGTAGTAAGAGCCAATTTTGAACATGATGAAACTTGGTGCAATGCAGTAGCAACCATAGGTACAGACTCCTCATTTTTTGTAGTAAAACAAGTAGTAGGGTGATCAACACCAGTACTGGTTTGAGCAGAGGTTATAGCAACAGTTTTTGCCCTTGTCAACATGAGGTGAGTATTTGTTGCTATTGATTGAGAATGTTTTGAATCTTTGGAGCATTTTGACAATGTAAGATCAACTTCAAGTGAGCAAGATGAAGGTTTAATGTTGGATGGTATAGTGGGTAGAGAAAGACAACTAATGGCTGTGTTTAGAGGTTGACTCAAAGGGGAAGAAAACTGTGCAAGTGTAACAGGTGACTGATCATTAGAATTTAAGGAAAAATGTGTAGGTGAAATAGGTGATTGACCATCAGAATTTGGTTGACTCTTAGTGTTTGGTGGAACAGTAGAATTAAATGGACTCTTGATGTGTTCTGAAAATAAAGGATTAGACTGTAATGTAGTAACAGAGTTAGAGTGATTACCTTCTAGTGCACCATTGTTAGACTTATTTCTAGGGCTGAATGCTATA